TGGGCACTGGGGGTGTGCCTTTGGGGTATATATTTTGTATCTGTGAGTGAAGTCTCTCTGTCTGCTTTCTGATTATCATGTGAACTGCTTCCCTCCACCACACTCTTCTGCCATGATATTCTGCCTCACCTCAAGATCCAGGGAATGGAGCCAGCCTCCTATGAAATGAGACCTCTGAAACCATAAGTCCCGACATAAACTTTTTCTCCTCTGAAATTGTTCTTGTCAAGTCTTTTAGTCCAAGACTAAAAAAGCTAACTAAAACAGAAAGTTTAAAAAAATCTAGAAAACAGTGTTTCTACAGAGTTCTGCTTTATGCATCAAGTGTTTTAAAGTCTTGCTTTTAAAAGTGTTTTTCCCCAGAACTCAAATGCTTACCTGCAGCAATCAATGGAATGCATCATACATCCTGACCTTATTTTATTCAAAAACTACAATTTCATCACAATTTTCATACCAAACCTTCTATTAAACCTACATTAAGCATGTTTATTAACTTTCTATAATAAGGTTTGTCATTTTTTGTTCTTATGTTTCTTGTATTTTTTTATTTTACTTCTTATTAAAAAAATTTCAAAATTTTCTTAGAAATATCTTCATCTATGGCTTGACTTTGAAAAACAAAAGAAAATTTTCTTAGCAAAGCAATATACGATGAAAGTGTGGGTTATTATAATACATACATATTTATTAAATACCTTGTATATACCAATAGAAAATGCCACAAGTGCTGGTATCGATCAGTGTCCAAAGTAGACAAGATTCCTTTTTCCAAGGAGTATATAACCTCCTGGAGAGAGGGAGAGAAACACTGAAAATACAAATAAATAAACATTAGGACAGATGGAGATAAGTACTTTTAAGTAAAATAAAACAGCACAGGAAGAATGTGGACTGAGGTGATAGGCCTTCTATTAAAACACCATAAAGCAGAGACAGAACACAAAGAATGAGTCATGGAAATACTTTGAGGGGAAAAAAATCCAGGAAATACAAACAAATAGTAAGGGATAATCATAGAATATAAAGAAAATTTTTTAAAAAGTCAAAAGTACAATGAAGAGGAAAGCAGGGCTAGCCTATTGTGTCTGAGAAGTCAAGTCATATTGGATCTACATGCTGGTAATGACTTTGGCTTTGATTTGAATGTGATGTGTTTTGAGCAGAGAAATGGTCTTTCTTCGTAATGATGAAATTGCTTGCACTGAACCAATGTTTCCCTCAAGAACAACAAGAAAAGCTGCATAAAATGAAAAAAAAAAAGAATTAAATATATGAAAGAACTGATGAGCTTACAGAAACTGAGGATTCAAGATTGCAGAGACAAGGGAATTACAGAGAAATGAGCTGACATTGTACATCTGCTTCTCTGACAAGAGTTGCTGATTTGGGGCAAATCTGTTTCTGAGGGTCTATGCCAAGTCCACAGAGCCAGGAAAGTTACTGGACATCTTACATGACTAAATAAATAAAATTGGAGGTAAGAAGCTGTCAACGGAGCCAGGACATGGAGATCAACTAAGCTCTGGGAAGGAAGAGACACAGAAACAACAGACTGAGCCCTGAACTCTGTGGGTTTTCATTTTATCTCAGAAAGGCTGTGAAGGTAAATTATAGGACAAGTACTAATGTGGCAAAAGCTATATTAACATCAAGTGCAGTAACCTTAGGTGAAGAAGCAACACGGGAAAATGATCTATAACAGTAATCATTAATTCACCAGAAAAAATATCCACAAATATAAATTATATGTACCTACAATATGGCTTCAACATGGTTAAGAAGACACATTTATAGAAATATTGAAAACTAGTTCATGCTTCTCAGTGGTTGATGTAGAACACAGACAAAATTAAAAGCCATAAAATTTGATTTTTAAAGAGTTTTTT